CCTTCAGAATTACTTCTAATACTTTGTTTTCCCTCCCTACATATAACAGCTTGCCTACTGCATATGCACAGCTCAGTCTGATTAGATAAGATGCTTCAATGTCACAGAATCAACAGACCACACTTATGCACACCTTGTGCATTCTCTTTTCTAGAATGTTCTCCCCACCCGTCTCTTAATCCAATCCATCCTTCCACACCTGGTTTAAGTCTTTCCTCCTCCAGGAGACCTTCATTGACAACTTGAGACCTTGCTGATCTCCCCAACTAACTTTTTATTTTTTTCCAGAGAGATGGAGTGTCACCAAGTTGCCAGGCTGGGGTGCAGTGGCTTTTCACAGGTGCGCTCATAGCACATTGTAGCCTCAAACTCCTGACCTCAGCCATCCTCACACCTTCAGCAGATCTCCCCAACTTTAAAATCCAAATAGTACTCACCATCTTTGCAGCCCAATTAAATCCATACAGGTACCTTATCCAAGACACTATCCATTCTATGCAGGTTAGTGTGGTCTTCCCCCAGGCAGCCTGGGAGCTCCTTGATGGTAAGGCTGTCTACAAATTCAACATATACTAGCATTCAGCAGGTAGTAAGAAAACTGCCTCAAGAAATAGACATATCCCAGCCCTACCAATTACTAATTGTGTTTTCAGGCAAGTAATTTAAACCCTCTGAGCCTGTGTCCCCCTCTGTAAATTGAGATAATAGCAGAGCTACCTCATAGGGTTGTTTTGAAGATTAAATGAGATAATACTAAGTAAAAGCAATTTGCACATTGCTTTGATACACAGTTAAGTACTCAATATATGTTAGCTATTATTATTTATTTATTTATTTTTAGATGGAGTTTCACTCTTGTTGCTCAGGATGTAGTGCAATGGTGCAATCTCAGATCTCAGTTCACTGCAACCTCCACCACCCAAGTTCAAGCTATTCTCCTGCCTCAGCCTCCAGAGTACCTGGGATTACAGGCGCCTGTCACTATGCCCGGCTAATTTTTTGTATTTTTATTAGAAACGGGGTTTCTTTCTTTTTTTATTTTTATTTTTATTTATTTTTAAAGACAGGGTTTCACCATGTTGGTCAGGCTGGTCTTGAACTCCCGACCTCAAGTGATCCGCCCGCCTTGGCCTCCAAAGTGCTTGGATTACAGGCATGAGCCACCATGCCCGGCGCTTTCTTTTTTTTTTTTTTAATTTCTTTTAACAGTTACATGGAATGTCTTAACACATCATAGAAATGGGGTTTCACCATGTTGGCCAGGCTGGTCTCCGACTCCTGACCTGAGGTGATCTGCCCACCTAGGTCTCCCAAAGTGCAGGGATTGCAGGTGTGAGTCACCGTGCCCAGCCTTAGCTATTATAATAGACAATTCAATCCCTGTTCTTGGAGTGGAACTTTGGCCTTGATTTTGTTTTATTCTTTCTGTCACTGATCATCTTTGCAAATAGTGATTTCCCATCAGTCCCTGTCTCTGTTACCATCCTTGATTGGTCAAAGCATAGCTGTGCAAGCAGTGGCTAGGGACAGTTTCCAACGTACAGGGTCATCTCGTACTTCACTGCACCATTCCTCCTGTCCCAGCACTCCTGGATGCTATGCTGAATTGTTTTGGTACCTTTGGTTTGCAAGCCTTCTTAAGCCTTTCTTTCTTCTACTTTATTATTATCATTGTATTATAAAAGCAATAGATGCTCATTATTTAAAAAAATTTTGAAGTACAGAAGAGTGTAAAGCGAAGAGTAAATGTCTCGCTCCCCAACCAAACCCCTATTCCTACTCTGGAACTAAGCCAGTTCAACTTAGCGGTTTCTCTTGTGTGTTTCCAGAAGTCACCCATGGCTACAGAAGCATATACACACTTTTTCATAAACACATGTGCACTGTTCTTCCGTGTCTTGCTTTATTCTCTTAACGATCAGTCTTGAACACCTTTCTATATCCACACCTCTTAGGTCCACCACACACTGCCTAATGACAACACAGCTTTCCTTTGTAGAGCTCAGCCATCGTTGATTTCCTCCATCCCCTACAGGTGGGCACTTAGGTTGCTACTACTAAAACATGATAAACATTCTTCTTCTTTTTTTTTTTTTTTTTGAGGGGTTTTTGCTTTGTCGCCCAGGCTGGAGTGCAGTGGCACAATTGCAGCTCACTGCAACCTCCACCTCCGGGGTTCCAGCGATTCTCCTGCCTCAGCCTCTTGAGTAGCTGGGATTACAGACGTGTACCACCACGCCCAGCTAGTTTTTGTATTTTTAGTAGAGACGGGGTTTCACCATGTCTGGTCTTAAACTCCTGACCTCATGATCCGCCTGCCTTGCCTTCCCGAAGTGCTAAGATTACAGGTGTGAGCTACGGCGCCTGGCTGGTAAACATTCTTGTATAGAGATCTCTGTGGACTCCTTCAGTCTTTAAATTATTTCATTGCCAAATTAGACCAGAATGACCAGAAGCAATTCTTTAACTGTGGTTCAGCCTCCCGAGTTCTTCACTTATACACAGCGTTCAGTCCCTGGCCCACTGACTCACTGGTCAGCAGCACAGCCACCGACCTCCTCATCTCAAAATAGAAGAAAGGTCACTGGAAACTTCCTCATGCTCCCGCTCAATGGGTGTTCACGGAAGCCACGTTTCTCCCTTTCTCTAGAATCACAGGGGAAATCCTGGGCATTTGGGAATCAAATTTCAGAAACCGGTTGTGCTCTCAAGTACCCTTCAGGAAACCCCAGAGAAGGAAGGAAATGCGTTTTTGGTTCCTGAGACACAATCCCAGGTGTTTTCAGTGGTGCTGGGAGGGGTGTGTGACAGCAAGGACAGTAGCTGACAGCAAGGACTTCAGGCAGTGGCTGGGAGGAGGTGAACACAGGCCTCTCATCAGTAGTGACGCAGCACTATCGTCCCAGCCCACATCCGTCCCCAGTGCCTGTCCTTTCTAAGGCCAAGGACAGGATGGGTGGGCAGGAACTGGGGCTGCTTATCCCCAGCTCGTCCTGACTCATCCACAACTCAAAGCAGCCACTGACTGTGCCCTGGGAGAAGCCTCAGGGGCCTGGGTAAAGATGGAGCTGGAAAAGGTGCCCCAGGGCTGTGCGCAAGTGGCTTACTGATCACTCTGTGACCCGCTGTGAGTTTCCTAACCATCTTAAGCTTCAGTGAGTCCATTTCACCATCGGTATAAAAGCCATACCAACAGCCCCCATCTTAGGCTGTCCTTGAGAGCAGGATGTACACCAAGTGCTTAGCACAGGACACGGCGTTACATAAGCAGTCAATAAATATTTGATATTTGCTTCACTGATGTTTCCCTCTGGCCTAGCCTAGCATCCAACTTAGAGTAGGTGCTTAATTAGAATTTTTTTTTTTTTTAAATAAATGACTGAATGAACAACCTCTTTCTTTCGGGAGGGCAGACAGGAAAATTGTAAAATGCCCCCCAAGGCCTCTCTGACTTCATACGTCACCCCATTTTTTTTCTCTATGACTGTGGCAGATTAGTGACAATGTGGTTTGGTTTGTTTTTCTCTCAGTTCTTTCTTCTTTGCCTCCTTCCTCCTTCTTCTCCCCCTTCTTTTTCCTCTCTTACTCTGGCTTCCAAGGAGAAAAGATATTCTAGTCTCCCTGACTCATCTGCAAGACCCAGTCGCATAAGATGAAAAGTTCAGGGTTAGGATCCTAGAATGCAGCCTTCACCTCAGAGTTTTGTTTGCTTTTTGAGACGGAGTCTCACTCTGTCACCCAGGTTGGAGTATAGAGGCGCTCTCTCAGCTCATTGCAACTTCCGCCTCCGAGTTCAAGTGATTCTCCTGCCTCAGCCTCCGGAGTAGCTGGGATTACAGGTGCGCACTACCACACCCAGCTAACTTTTGTATTTTTTTTTTTTTAGGAGAGACAAGCTCTCACCATGTTGGTCAGGCTGGTCTCGAACTCCCGACCTCGTGATCCGCCCACCTCGGCCTCCAAAAGTGCTGGGACTACAGGCGTGAGCCACTTCACCTGGCCTCACCTCAGAGTCTCTAAGGAGAAACCAAGTCCCAGAGCCATGGAATATTAGAAGAGTGAGAAAAAGAAGTGCATTGTATTCACTCAGTAAACCTCTACAGAGTATCTCCCACTTTGGTCCCCCTGTACTCCTCACCACGCTGGCCTGGCCTCCGCCTCTGCTGAAATGGCTTCCTCATAGGTAATCCTCAGGGAGTGCCCACTGTTAAGCCCCTCTTTCCTCCATTGTCCCCCTCACGACCTCTCTACAACAACTGAACACTTGATGTCCCTCCCCAGCACCTTTCTCCTCCTTCAGCTTCTCAGGGAGACTCCCCTTTTCTGTCATCCTCCCCACTCCCCTCTCAGTCTCTGCTTCTTGTGTCCTGTTACAGCTGAACTGCATTCCCCCCAAATTCGTATGTTGAAGTTCTAGCATCTCCACCTCAGAATAGGACTATATTGGAGGCAGATCCTTAAAGAGGTAATTATGTTAAAATGAGGTCACCAGGGTGAGCCCTAACCCAGTATGACCAGTATTCTAATAGTAACAAGAGGAAATTAGGCCACAGAGCAAGGGGAGCCCATGTGATGACACAGGAGAAGGCAGCCATCTCCCAAGCCAAGATGCAGTCTCAGAAGACACCAACCCTGTCAACACCTGGATCTCCGACTTCTCGCCTCCAAAATGGTGAGAAAATACATTTCTGTTGTTTAAGAGACAGGCTTTCATCATGTTGGCTGGGCTGGTCTCGAACTCCTGACCTCAAGTGATCCACCCACTTTGGCCTCCCAAGGTGCTGGGATTACAGGCATGAGCCACCGCACCCAGCCTATGATTAACTTTTAAATATCTAGAGGATCCACTAAAAGAATAGATGGAGAGACTGTAACTTCCTAGGCAATCAGTGGAAAAAAAAGAGATGATTTAAAAAAAAAAAAAAAAAAAAGCCAATCCATAAGAAGACCAGAAAGCAGAAGGAAACACAAAAATAAATACCAGGACAAAGATAAGAAAATAAAATAGAAAGAAATCTGACTAATTTAATAATTTACAATACTCATATTAATACAAGCAAACTGAAATGGACTGCTCTGTAGTGAAAAGACAAAGCTTGTCCAACTTGCTAGGAAACAAAATCCAGTCATCCACATGTATAACAAGCAAAACAAAGGAGTTAGGTTAAATGACTGCTAAACTTTCCTCCGATTTATCCAGCTGATATAATTTCTCTATAAAGTCAAGCAGAACAAATGTGGTCATTTGAGGAGAGTTGAGAAATTATTTGCAAACATAGGCACACTTTGCAGAGTGTAGGGAAACTACAGGGATGGCGCAGCGCCCTGGAACCAGGAACACCAGGGCTCCATTATCACTCCTGGAACTGAAGGGGCAGCGTGGGGATGGGCAATTCCCAGAACCCATTGTAGTCCTTGCAATCCTTTCTTCTCTCTGTGGCCAGAATGAGCTTTTCAAAATGCAGATTAGATCTTGTTACCCACTAACACAAATATTCACACACACATCTCCACGGCTTCAAGTCCTTTAAGAGCATCCCATTGTCCTTGAGAAGCATAAAAGTATAGATCCTTGAGAGCGCCTCCAAAGCCTTTTGTGATCTGTCCTCAGCATGGGCCCTGTCCCCCACATTTCTAGCTCTTCCTGAGACCAGGGTCCACCTCATTTTCAGTCCTGTAGTCACACTGGTCTTTTTGCACTGCCATCGATTTACCATGTTCCCTCCAGCCTCAAGACCTTTGCACATGCTGTCTTCTGCCTGGAATACTTCTCACTCCACCCTTCAAGCCCCACTACCACCACTCTTCTTTTAGCTCTGAGCTGAAATGTCTCTTACTAGAGAAACTTTTCCAAACTCTGTCCTCATTATATACCTTTATTGCTGTTATCATTTTCTACTTATATTTATGCAATTAATTTTACTTTTTTTTTTTTGAGTCGGAGTTTCGTTCTTGTTGCCCAGGCTGGAGTGCAATGGCATGATCTCGGCTCACCACAAAGTCTGCCTCCTGGGTTCGAGAGATTCTCCTGCCTCAGACTCCCGAGTAGCTGGGATTACAGGCGTGCGCCACCACGCCCAGCTAATTTTGTATTTTTAGTAGAGACGGTGTTTCGCCATGTTGGTCAGGCTGGTCTTGAACTCCCGACCTCAGGTGATCTGCCCACTCGGCCTCCCAAAGTGCTGGGATTACAAGTGTGAGCCACCTTGCCTGGTCAATTTTTTTTTTTTTTAGAGAGACAAGCTCTTGCTCTGTCACCTAGGCTGGAGTGCAGTAGTATAATCATGGTTCACTGCAGCCATGAGCTCTCGGGCTCAAGGGATCCCCCTGCTTCAGTCTCCCAAGTAGGTGGGACTACAGGCATGCACCACCACACCTGGCTAATTTTTTAATTTTTTGTAGAAATGGGGTCTTGCTATATTGCCCAGGCTAGTCCTAAAGTGCTGGGGTTAGAAGTGTGAACCAAACCAGCACACCTGACTATATCTGTGCAATTATTTGATGAATGTATGTCCCACTAGATTGGAAGCCCCATGAGGGTGAAAATGGCACCTTTTTGCTCACTGCTATACAGTGGCTGGCACCTAGCAGAAGCTCAGTAAGTACTGATGAATGAAGGAATGAAAAATCCTCACCAGGTGTACTTTGTCCAGAAACAAGTACTATATACCCAAAGAGCTTTTCCCAGTTTCATTACACAACTTGCATTCATTCATTCACATATATATTTTTCAATTCAAATTTTTTTTTTGTAGAGACAAGGTGTCGCTATGTTGTCCAGGATGGTCTTGAACCCCTGGGCTTAAGCGATCTTCCCACCTATGCCTCCCAAAGTTCTGGGATTGCAGGTGTGAGCCACTGTGCCTAGCCCATTCACATTTATTCACTTTCCATTTCTCTGTGTCAGAGAGAATGAAGGGCAGCTTCCTTCAAGGACCTCTCTGAAACATAAAAACAGCCCCTGGGCTTTTAATGACATGAACATGGTGGGAAAGCCTCCAAGTCAGAGGTGGCCGATTGGCCAGGCATCCCAGCAAACCCAGCAGGCACTCAAGGTGGAGGACAAGGAGTCCCTCCCCATCTGGGCCCATCAGACCCAGAGCAAAGGCAGCTGGATCGAACAATCAATCAGGAGCCTTTCCAAGCGTCCTAAATCATGGCTAGAGCCATAAGCAATGACACCTAAGTGACTGTGCTCCTGGCATTTTGGCAAAGTGGGGCTGAAGGAGTTTAGTTGGTTCCAGACAATTGCTAACCATAGAGAAAACCCTCTGCTTTAAAATTCACACTTGAGAAAAGGACCAAAAGCACTTCCTTTGATTAACAAAATCTGCATCCTGTTCTCTGATTTGATTGACTTTACACGTGGATGGTAATGGCTCTATGCCTTGGCTTCCTATCCTTAAAGAGGATGTAAATCCTTAGGCTCTTTAAGGGCATCGATAATAACAATAATAACAGCAGCAGCAACTAACACACACTGATCATCATTCTGTGCCAGGCTCTGTGCTAAGTCCTTAATTTTATATATATATATATAAAATCTCTTTTAAATCTTAGTGGAAATCAGCTCATATTGGTCCCCTGCCTAAAAACATCCAGTGATTTTTCATCAATCTTTTTTTTTTTTTTTTTTAGACAGAGTTTCACTCTTGTTACCCAGGCTGGAGTGCAATGGCGCGATCTCGGCTCACCGCAACCTCCGCCTCCTGGGTTCAGGCAATTCTCCTGCCTCAACCTCCTGAGTAGCTGGGATTACAGGCACGCACCACTATGCCCAGCTAATGTTTTGTATTTTTAGTAGAGATGGGGTTTCATCATGTTGACCAGGATGGTCTCAATCTCTTGATCTCTTGATCCACCTGCCTCGGCCTCCCAAAGTGCTGGGATTACAGGCTTGAGCCACCGCACCCGGCTAATTTTTGTATTTTTAGTAGAGATGGGTGTCACCATGTTGGCCAGTCTGGACTCGAACTCCTGACCTCAGGATCCACCTGCCTCGGCATCTCAAAAGTGCTGGGATTACAGACATGAGCCACTGTGATAAACCTTAACTTCTTATTAATGAAGACAACTTTAACAATTTTTTGATTGCTTTTCTCCGAGTTCTTAATGCATCCAGATAAATGAGCTCCTCTTGAAATTCTAACTAATTCTTTGCATCAAAACAGCTGCGTGTGTTGAATAATCATCTAGTGTGTACTAGCTCAATCACAGCTTACTGCAGCTCCAACCTCCCTGGCTCAAGCTATCCTCCCACTTTAGCTTCCTGAGTAGCTAGGACCACAGGCATGTACTACCACACCCAGCTTTTTTTTTTTCCTGTAGAGATTGTGGGGGTGGTCTCCTTACACTGCGCAGGCTGGTCTTGCACTCCTACGCTCAGCTGATCCTCCTGCCTCCCAAAGCACTGGAATTACAGGCATGAGCCATGTGCCTGGCTCGCACACTGTTCTAAGTGCTCTATGTTCAATACTCCATTACAGCTCCACTCAATCCTTTGTGGTAAGTACTACTATCAGTTTTCATATTGTAGAGGGGGAAACTGAGGCACATAAAGTTTGAATAACTTGTCCGAGACTATGGAGCTTGCAAGGGGAGGATTTAATCCCTAGCAATCTATGGTCAGTGTCTGTCCATCTGTCTTTCAAGCTGTCCAGCTCCAAAGCTGAAATAGCTGAAACGCTGAACCAGAAAACTGAGGAGGTAGTGCCAGCACAGAGTTCTAACCTCTTGTACTGACACATCCTCTCTTCCTCAAAGGACCAGGGTCCCCAAGGCTCTTTCCTGCTTCCTGGCCTTCTACCACTGAGCCCAGCCTGGCTGAGTGTGCATTCCGTACATCTGAGCTCTGGGGAAGCTTCTCAAGGGCCCCAGGCTGTCACCAATTTTACTCATGAAAACATGTTGCATGTAGGACTGGCATACAGTAAGTGCTCCAGAAGTGACTGTCAGTGAATTGGAATTCCTGCCTCTCCACAATCCCACTAACTCATCTTCCAGGTCCTAGCAAGGCTAAGCGATTAATAAAAGAACAAAGCCCAGAACTGAACCCACTCTACTCCCCTGGCCACAAGCTGGTAGGAGTGAGGATGCTTTTTTTTGGAGTTGGGGGGAAAAGATTGTCATTAGCACTGGCAGGAATGCAAGGTTGTTGGGACGTGCCACTAGCAGAAAAGTTATACCTGGGGAAGACATTGAGTAGCTTTGGAGTAAACAGAGTCAGATAAAGTAGAAAAACAAATCCAGCACAGGCCTACCGGCCACCCAGTTCTAAGGAATGAACATGATATCTTCACCCTGCAATGGAGCAAATGCTTTGCATTCCCCAACTACCTTTCATTCTGTCCCTTCATCCCCTAAAGTGTGGCCCCAGGGCTGCTGGAGAGGTTTAAAACACAAATCAGAATGTGTTGGACCTTGCTTAAAATCCTTAATAGGATGACATCTGAATTCCTCACCAGGGTCACTTCAAACTCGCCCATAAAGCTGTGGCCACAGACGCCTTCTGTCAGTGCCTCCAATATGCCAGGCTTTTCCCACACAGCCTCCACCCATGTTCCCTGTGCCTGAGATGTCTCTCCAGTCTTCCCGAAGATTGACTTCTCAGTCTTCAGGTCTCAACTCACAACAAGAAGCCGCCCTTTCAGAGACATTCCCTGATGACCAAGTCAGAATCAGCTTCTTCCACCATCCCCCGCCTCGCCCCCAAGCAACATACCCCAGAGAAAGCTCATTTCCCTTCTAGCACTTACAACCTTGCATTGCAGTCAGTCTTTTCAAAAGACTGTGAGCTTCACAAGGGCAGGAAGGGCTGTCTGTCCCTCACCACTGAATCTCTGCAGTCAGGGCAGGCCCCATTACAGAATCTATCAATGAATAAGTGAGTGAATGAATGAATAAATTTTTCATAACTGCTGCTCCAGACCATTTCTCAGCTGAGGTTTGAAGCACAACCAGAATATGACCTCCAGAGCCCCCCCTAGACACTCTGAATCACGCTGTACTTAAGCATCAGAGGCCCCTCCCAGCTCAAGACTAGGAGCTCCTTCTCCACACCACAGGCTGGGGTCTCCTCGCCTCCTCTTTCAGGGAAGCTGAGAAAGACTATGAAATGGAATCCTGTCTGTCTCTTGCACAGTTCTCTAACAAAGAAAACAGGACAGCAACCCATCTCCTCGCGGATCCTCCAATCCTCCTTTTCTGCCATAGATTTAAGATTTATTCCCATCCTTCTAATTGTTTCAGCAAGGGCCATAGGTGAGCACCAGCTGGAAAATTACTGCTTCAACTTTCATTGTTTAAAATGCTTAAATGACATGCAAGAAGCAGGTTTTTAGGTCTGCGATGCTGGGAAGGGTTGGTAGCAAAGTAGAGCCAGGTTGCAAAGACCTAGAAAATCAGTGCTACAATTTATTAGCTCTTCCATATACCCAATGCAGGACCCCTGGCCTCAGTTTCTACAGCTGACAAATGGAGAGGGTGATATTGAACTTCATCACCCCTAAAGGGAAGTCTGGAGGGCTGTACCCATTGTTCTGGGCAAGGGTTCTCGTGGTCTTAGAGGAAGGTCTTGCCCCTGAAAGGAAGGCTGAGGTTCCCTAGGGAGAGTCTGCTGTGCCCTCAGGAGCTGGGTAAGTACACGGAGAGGTGAGTACGAATGGTGAGAAGGCATTTTAGACTAGGACTCGGTGACCTTGGGTTTTGGTCTGGGCTGCCTGTCTCGAGAGTTCCAGCCCCAGACCTAGGCCAGACCTCAGCCCTGAGCTGGGAGCCTTTCATTGGTTCCTCTGACAACAGCCAAGCACAATCCTATAGTGGCGTAGGAAGAAAAAGACTGCCACACAATCTCCCGGTGAGGCCAGAACAGCGGCAAGACAAACCTTGCGGGGGACTCAGGGCCAAGCCCCGGCCCAGACCCTGCTCTTATCCACGCATCACAGCCACCCCTTGCCCCGGACTTCCCGGAGGCTACAGGCTCCTCGGTTCTAGGGAGGAGCAGAGCCAGCCGCGAGGGCTCCCCGCCTTCCTGGAGTCAAGCCATTAGGCGGGGGCTTTTCTTTTCACCAGCTTGAGCTGATCCTCACCCCCGCCCCTCAACGCCACCATCATTAACAGCAAAGAAAAGATCCCCAGCCATTTCCATTTCCTCTGCGGCTCAAGAGCCCTGCTGTTATTTAATCCTGAGGCCACCCCGGCAGCATCCTCGGCGCAGCCGGCTCCACCCATCCACCTGGCCAGTTCTCAGCCGTTCCCACTTCCCCGGAGGGGAGGCTGGCGAGAGGTTGGGAGATTCGGGAAAGGCGCCTACACCAGCAAAGGGCCATGGGCCTTCAGTGGACCGAGGCTCCTTAGGCCAGCGTCCTGTGAGGGCTGGGAAACCGACTGGGACAGAGAGAGGACACCTAGCTAGGGCGGCAGAGGGCGGGCAGACGCTCGGGCACTGCGGACATAACACTGGGGCGGGGGGCAGGGGGAACGCTGGGAGGCGAGGGCCAGGCTTCCTCCGGTTGAGTTGCCAGAATCGCCCCGGGGGGTACTGGAGCCGGAAGAGGCCTGGGCCCAGTCACTGTCTACACCCAAGAAGTGGGGGGAGGGGCGGCCAGCACTCACAAGAGATTCAACCTCAGGAAAAGGAACCAGATTCACTCACCAACCCCCACTGCACCCTTTGATATGGATGATGGACATTTTCTTAATTTTTGGTAAACGCAGCTTCGAGAGCCCTCCCCACTGGCGTCACTGGTCTAGAGAAAGAGAAGGCCCCCAGCAGGGGTCCTCCAGTCCCCCCTTTTGACTGCCTGCGGGGGGCAGAGATCCCCAGATCTAGGTGTGTCCTCCCCCACCCTGCTCTCAACCGTGGATCCGGAGGCCGCAGTGCCCCCCGCCCCCCAGGGACACTGACGGTTCCAGCCCAGGCCCGCAGTGGCGTGAAGGTGGCCTTTACCTCCTCTCGCAGGCTGGGAGGGGGTGCAGCCCGCGCAGCTGGCCCAGCTGCAGCAGTCGCCCCCCCCCTCCATTCAAAAAAAAAAAAAAAAAAAAAAGCAACAACAATCTCCACTGGAACCTCCACCCCTCTTTGTAAAAGAGCGACGGCTCCTGATAGAGCTAGAGCCAGTCCCAGCAATCACGGGTTAAGATCTTTTCCCGCCCCCCATTCATAAAAAAAGGAGAGCAGCGCATGCGCGCTCCAGGTCTCTTGTGCCCACCCATTCATAGAATCGCGAAAGACGCGCGTGCGCACTGGAGCTCCCTTCCCTCCCATTCATAAAAAAGCCATTTTCCCAGGCAGTGGTTGCAACATCGCCGCGGAGGTAGCAAGCGGAGCTGACAGCGCGGAGCTGGCGCTGTGGAGCGCAGGGAGCCTTGCCGGTTCCTCCGGCCGGCGTCTGCGAGTACAGCGGCTGCTGACCTGCTCCGGCTCCGGGATTTACACAGACGTGGGGCGATGCTTGTGACCCTGAAGCTCCTCAAAGTAAGTCCGTGGCCGGTTTTGGGATCTGAAACTGCCCCGTGTGAGCCGCGACGCGACTCCCCCTTGGGCTGGGGCAAATGGTGCGCTATTTCTAGGCGCGCCTCAGTGTTCCTTCCCTCAGCCTGCGCCTCCTTGAGTCGCTGCGGTGCGCCGCAGCTCCCTGACGCCCTCGGTCCGGCCGGCACGGCGCCGGGGGTGTTCACAGCCTGGCACCGCCGTTTCCGACCCCTGGGCATTGCCAAGCCCGGCTTCCCCGCCCTCTGAGACTCGGGAAGCCCCGTGCGTGTCCCGGGAGTTTGCCTCTGGCCTGGCCTCTTTCCTCCTTCTGCCACTACTCTCCTCGAGCGCTGGAACGGGCGGCTCTGGGCTTGGTCAGGAGCCACCGTTTGGGTCGGGGGGCGCCCTCACTCTGGGCGACTCGCCCACCTCCCAGCTCGGTGCCCACGGTGCCAGCTTTGCCGTGTATCTCTCAGCCCGCCGCAGCGGCCTATGCTCGACGTAGATTTTTCCTTTCTCTTTGGAGCTGTGACGGACTGGATTCCCTCCCCTTCTGCCTCTCCCTCGATGGTCAGCGAGGGGCTGGCTCAGGACTGGGCATTTCTGCTCCCTCTTCTTGGCGAGGCGGTTCCTCGCCGTCTGACCTTTGCTCCGCTGCCGCATTTTATGCTGTGCAACTGCCTTGCAGTTGCCGTTTTCTTGCCTGGCCTCCGTAGGGCCTGAGGCTCCTCGGCCACCCTGTACCTCCCTATTCCCGGGCACCAAGTTGTGCCAGGCCCCGGGGACCCCAGGCCGTGCTAGGGCTGTGGTGGGGGCTGAAGGTGCGTTTACATAACGCCAGGTGTGTGGGAGCTGGAGGAATAGGTTGCGAACGTAGGAGAGATAAGGCTCCTACGTTCCCTCCTTTCTTCTTGGTGGTACCAAGCTTGACATCACAAAGAAGAGAGAAGGATAGAGACGGTACGTGCTGAAAAATTCTGAATCTCCAAGACCCCGGGGACAGTGAGCAGGGTGAGGGCGGGTTTGGCTGGCCAGGGCAGCTGGAGCTTGGCTCCATCACTGGGGCCAAGGCTGTGCCCAGTTCCCCTTCCATGCAGATGATCAAAAAGCATTTAGACACCAGCTGCTCTTGTGCAAGAAGGTTTCTCAATTCTCCTTGATTGGGGGCAGGGGGTTGTGGGCAGAAGAGGCAAGAGAGACGGAAAATGGCTGCATGGCTTGTAGGGCTAAGGGATGGACAAGAGAGGCGAAATGGGCTGGAGGGACTAGGTGGTAGGCAGAGGGGCGAGCTGCTGACTGCCTCTTTCACCAGCTGCTGGAGGGGCATCCATATTGCTAGGCCTCGGTGAGGGCAGGAGGCCGCCTTCTGGTGCAGCAAGGCTCCGGGTACCCCCCAGCTTGGTTAGTGCTGGAAAGAAGAGTGTACAGTGGGGTGCCCAAACCTAGTGGCAGCCCCTTCTTTCCTGCCTCCTAATCAGTGGCATGATTCTCTCCAATTTTGAGAGAGGCCAGACACTCTAGAGGCCAGAGAACTTGCGGAGGGGTGGGAGCAAGCACTTGTCTGTCTCTGTAGCTGACCATAGCACTAACGTCTCTGACAAGCCTCTCGGGATTCAAAGCTGGAAGGTACAAGGCCCAGAGCAGTTGGGGAACTGTGGGTTTATCAATCTCTTAATGAGCTCGGTCTGGCCTGAGGCCCTACCCAATATTGCACTGGTGAATTTCACAATGTTCAGAGATCTCCAGATCTTCACACAAATGGAGCATAAACGTCTCTGAAATTTTCAGCCTTTTTTTTTTTTTTTTTAAAGTGCGGATGTCAGGAGGACTAGAAAAGGTAGGTCTGAGGTTAAAGATTTCCCTTTATCTCTCCCTCTCTGTCTCCCAGAAGGGTGGGAAAGAACTAGTGAAGATGTCCAGTGTGAAATCACATTTACTCTTTCCTATCCCTTGGGAGGGTCCTCACGCGCTGCCAGGCTCCAGACAAATCCTAATGTGGTGAACAGCGCACACACTTACCAACCGAGCCGTGTGGCCAGTACAGGTGTAGGGTGGGGATTTTAGTAGCATATTTCTGAAATCTCAGAGAACAAATATTGGTCACCTATGGTGAGGAGACTTTAAAGGCATCTGTTGGTTATGAGAGTCACTCCCTTTTGGTGGAGTGTAAATGGCCTCTTGCCCTTGGCCCTCCTGCCCAGCCCCAAGATCTTTTCCAGATCACCCTCTGAAATGGCCACATCTTACTATAAAGCCTTAGTTAGGGCTGGTGGGAGGAGACAGAACACATAGCAGGGCAGAGGCTATGGACAAGTGGAAATTTGGAGCTTACGGATGTAATTGTTATTTATTTATTTTTTTGAGACGGAGTCTTGCTCTGTCACCCAGGCTGGAGTGCAGTGGTGCAATCTTGGCTCACTGCAACCTCCACCCACCAGGGTCTAACGATTCTCCTGCCTCAGCCTCCCAAGTAGCTGGAATTACAGGTGTGCGCCACCAAGCCCAGATACTTTTTGTATTTTTAGTAGAGACTGGGTTTCACCATGTTGGCCAGGCTGATCTTGAGCTCCTGACCTCATGATCCACCCACCTCGGCCTCCCAAAGTGCTGGGGTTACAGGCAAGAGCCACCCTGCCTGGCCTTGGGTGCATTTTTTTTTTTTTTTTTTGGAGACGGGGTTTCACCATATTGCTGGCTGGTCTCGAACTCCTGACTCTGTGATCCACCCACCTCAGCCTCCCAAAGTGCTGGTAATACAGGTGTGAGCCACCGCACCCAGCTTCGGATGCCATTTTTATCTGCATCATCCCAGAATTGGAGAAGAGATGTAGCTCTTTGGAAATCTGTCCTGCCCAGTTCACACCCATGACGCCCCCGACTTTGGTAAACCTGTGCCCAGAGGTTTGGCTGACATTCAAGAATAATAAATGAAAGCAGCCTTTCAGTGCAAAATTTGAAAATCAGTGATTTAAAAATTAAGAGAGGAATAAAACCCATTAATACTTCCAGAAGTGACCTTTGAGCTGTGTTGCTCTGGGATTTAATACTTTGGGACCATATGTGGGGATTCCAGTTTCCAGTGCTGAAAGTCTCGAGGTGTGACAACTTCTAACTCCCAGATCTGGGCCCCCACAGCGTTTTTCTATCCTTGGGCTATCCTGTTAATTAGGGCCTGGGTGTTAGTGCCAAGGAGGCCTAGGAAGGAGCCCTCCCTCTTTATTCAGAAAAGTCCAGTGTTTCTTGGAGAATCGTAGTGTTCAATTTGGTTCTAAATCCAGAGTGTCTGTCATCTGGCCTCTACTTAGGTAGCAGTTCCCTTGTGATGACAGCCTGGCTAAGAATTCTCACCCAGGCCTCTGAATTTGGAGATAAAGTTGAAAATTTGGGGTTTTGTATGTAGACACAACCGAGTTTTTGAGGAAGGGAAAAATGGCTGGAGCAGAGAAGGTTCTATCTTATGGCCAACCTATATCTCCCTGAGGGGAGAAAGCAGTGACTCGTTAGAATACATTTTTGCTCTTTGAAAAGAGCCAGAGGAAGGTGATTGAACAACATAAGGAAAGCTGTATTGCTCCTTCCAGACCAAGCCAGGAGCCAGGAGAGAGCAGATGAGTGATTAGGCAAACCTGCTAAGCATGGCCTTAGTTTCCCCATCTTTATAGTAGAGAAAACAAACTCCTCCCAAGGGGCCAGGGGCCAGCAGAGCTGCTAGTGAGCAGCCAGGATGAGGGCCAGGCTCATTTTGATTCCTGGGCTCCTAGGAGGAGGGCCTAGCTTTAACGGTGCCCCTTTCCTGCACAGGAGGTGTGGGGTGTTGCATGATGTAAGAGGCGGGGTATTCTTGGCTCTCAGGGGTTTGGGGCCACCCTGCAGATCCGGACAGCTGACAAGGCTGGGGAATGTATCCGGGACATGTGGCTGGGCTTAAGAGGCTCCACAGTTCAGCTGTGATCACGATTGTTCTTTCCAAGGACAGGCCCCAGTCAGTGAAGGAAGCAAGGGCACAGGGGAGGGAGCACAGATGTGCTGGATCTAGCGGAGGAGGGAAGGGGCCCTTTGGGGCAGGTGGCCACTTGCAGAAGAGTGGTTTCCCTTGTCAGTGGTCTTTCTTTTTCTGGTTAGGGGAAGGGAAAGTCATTTCCTGCTCCTGTCCCAGGAGTAAGCTAAAATCTATTATTGTAAGTTCATTTCTTGGTGGAGGTTAAGGAGACAAATAATAAGATCTTAGTGTCTGTGGGAGGAAGCCCTGCCCTGGGGGGTCTAGGGTTCTGGTCCCACCCAGATCTTGACTTGGCCAGTAGTTCCCAAACCATGCCAGTGGTTAACAGGCTCCTTCTGACTCCTTCTTTACTGACTCTTGACTTCTAATCCTTCTTTCTGGGAATCTGAGCAGACAATTAAGGGGGTAATACAGTGAAGCAGAAATTTGAAGCTGATTAAATAGCCCAAAGCTGAAGTCCAGCAAGATTCCCACCCTTCCTGTGCTGGGGCTTTGGAGCTCAGCTGACTGATTGTGAAAGAGGGAAGAGAAGAAGAGGGATGGGAACTGATAACTGGTGATGGGATGCAGTGATGAAAAGCAACTGTTTTCTTTTGGGGTCTCTAACAGATTATGGGCAGAGGTGAACTTCTTCGTGCTGGTGCTGAGGGTAGGGAGGTGGGGGAGGGAAGAAGGATTTGCAGGCAAATCCAGCTGCCCAAATGCTCCTCTATTCTCCCACTGGGGCCACTCTCAGCAGATTGTCTTTCTTCCTAGGGTATAGGGAGGGGCAAGTCCTCCGCCTCCCTCAGCATCCCTCCCCTTCTTTTTAAAGTCCTTTTAAAGCAATAAGTCATCATTTAGTTGTAGCTTAATTAGCTAAACTGGGATATTGTCACAAAGAACCAAGCAATATTGGTGGGCAGGCTCTCTGGCAGCCTAGAGACCTTTCTTCTGAGTTTTTAAAGGGTTAAACAACCTTCACTGAAAGAACCCGCTGAGACTGAATGGGGCAGTGCTCAAGCTACCTAATCATGCACAGCCTCTTGCCAGTTTGTCATTAGCTGACCTGTAGCTTGCAAAGTACAACTGTCAGTTTTTCCCAGTATTTCTCAACTCACCTTCCTGGGATAAGTCTAGGGGAGGGTGAAGGTGGGTGGGATTAGGCATCCTACTAATTGTGTGGACATTTAATGTACCTCTTGACTCTTTTCAGCCAGCCTGTATTGAGCGGTCTGCAGCCTGATGCTCAGCCCCTCCTCACAGGTACAAATGCAGTGAGTGTCAGACTGGCTGGCTCTGGGCTCCCAGACCCACCAAGCAGCAAATACAGGGTTGTGTGCTCTGGGGTTTTTGATATCCCACTGATTCCGTATCCTAGGACTCTCTGTGCCCTGGCTCCTTCCCCTCCTCACAGACCTGGGCCAGGGAGCCCCATCAATGTAGATGGGGAGGAATAGAGATTCCTTTCCACCCCAGGGTTACCTTTTGGAGACTGCTTTGTAATAAACTCCTGCAAGTGAGATTCATTCAACTATGAGAAAACTAAAAATGAAACCACTTTTAAAACGGGGTGATGGCACAGAACACTGAATTGGGAGTGAAGAGAACTTGAGCTCAGAGCCTTCAATGAGAGAGATTACAAACCCCCTGCAGCCTTCACGCTCCACACTGACAATTCCCCTACGTGGGGTTCAGGCTTTTCTTCCCTGATGGTTGCATTGCAGACCCCAGAATATTCTGATGATGATCCGTGAGGGCTGGAGGGGTCCATGGTTGTGAAAGTGACGGTACTTCATGCCTTTCTGTAAATTCCCAGAGGTTGTGGAGGGCTTTTGCAAGTCATTGTAAATCAGGGCTGAATGGTTAGTACTTCAGCCTCTGAAGCCTCTGCTGTCTTGGTTCAAATCCTGCTCTCATCACTTGGTAGCTCTATGACCCTTTGTGCTTCCATCTCTTCCTCTGTAAAATGGGTACTGTCTTGGAAGTATGGTGAGGATTAAACGAGAAAATAAAATCGCTGAGGGCTTAGAATGGAGCCTGGTACCAAGAAATGTTTCGTAAATATTAGCTGCTTCCATAATTATTATTTATTATTATTAGAAGGTTGAGTGGAGGTAAAAGTCCCTTCCCTCCTGCCAATTTGTAAGAGTACCACCTAAACTTGATAGAGGTGCTTCCTTGGCTAAGTGGAGTGCTGGCTTTGTTTCTCTGTCCAGTGTCTTCCAAATTGGCCATCAGTCTCTTCCAAACTGCCTAAATGAGGCAAATCCTCCTCTCTCCTATTTATATTATAAATCTCTTCCTTCCTTGCAGGGGAAGCAGAGAGCACATATTAAACTGCACTTAAGATTGTCAGCGTTGCTCAGAGTAGAGGGTGGGTGTTTCTCAGTGAGTAGAGATTGATCTTCCAGATCAACTTAGAGTCGGTTTTTTTCTTTTTCTTTTCTTTTTTTTTAAGTTGAGATGGAGTTTCACTCTTGTTGCCCAGGCTGGAGTACAGTGGCGCAATATCAGCTCACTGCAACCTCCGCCTCCTGGGTTCAAGCGATTCTCCTGCCTCAGCCTCCCAAGTAGCTGGGATTACAGGTACCTGCCACCATGCCCAGCTACTTTTTGTATTTTTAGTAGAGAAGAGGTTTCACCATGTTGGCCAGGCTGGTCTTGAACTGCTGACCTCAGGTGATCCACCCACCTCGGCCTCCCAAAGTGCTGGGATTATAAGCGTGAGCCACCATGCCTGGCTGGTTTTTCTTTTTTCTTTCTTTTCTCTCTCTTTCTCTCCCGGTTTTTCTTTTTCTTTCTTTTCTTTCTCCTTTCATCCCTTCCTCCCTTGCTCTGTCGCCCAGGCTAGAGTGCAGCGGTGTGATGTTGGCTCACTGCAACCTCTGCCTCCTGGGTTCAAGCAACTCTCCTGCCTCAGCCTCCCAAGTAGCAGGGATTCCAGGCACCTGCCACCATGCCCAGCTAATATTTGTATTTTTGGTAGAGATGGGGTTTTATCCTGTTGGTCAGGCTGGTCTCAAACTCCTGACCTCAAGTGATCCGCCTGCCTTAACCTCCAAAATGTTGGGATTACAAGCGCCTGGACTTGTTTCTTTTCTTTTTCTTTCTTTCTTTCTTTCTTTCTTTCTTTCTTTC